AAAAAAAAAAAAAAACAAGTTGGCCAGAGTGTAACCAAGTATAATTCAAATAGTTAATTAAATTGGTTTTCTAACTTGTAGCCTTTGTCTTGTGAACAAAAGCTCGTATAAATCTGCCATCCCCACACAAAACCCAAACCACACAAGACCTTGCATGTGAGACTAAGTCCAAAAAACCAAAACAAAACATGAAGAATCAAACCACAACAATAATTCTCTTGTCACTTTTTCCCCTCATTTTCTTCCTAACCAACAATGTCACCGCTCAAACCACCCAATTGAGGCCAGATTTCTACAGGACTACGTGTCCTAACGTCGAGTCTCTCGTCCGTTCAGCCGTTCAGGCCAAGTTCCGGCAGACTTTTGTGACGGCACCCGCCACTCTCCGCCTCTTTTTCCACGATTGCTTCGTCCGGGTATGTAAATTTCGCATCGAAATTTCAACATGTGTTTGGTTGTATATATATAATTATTACTATTTGAAAGAATATTATTATTTATCATATATTTGATCATCACGAAATTTTTTTCGAGTGGTTCTAGGGATGTGACGCGTCGATTATGCTGGCGTCGCCCAACGGCCAGGCAGAGAAGGACCATCCGGACAACCTCTCGTTAGCAGGAGATGGTTTCGACACGGTGGTTAGGGCAAAGGCGGCCGTGGATCGTGACCCGAGGTGTCGGAATCGGGTTTCGTGTGCAGATATATTAGCATTGGCCACTAGGGATGTTGTCAACATGGTAAACAAATATATGAAACATTCAAAAAGAGAAAATTGCAATTTTGTTTCACTAACTTACGGTTTTTTTTTTTTCATTTTTGTCCAGTAATTTATTGGTGTTTGAAATTGGTCCAATAACTCTTCAAATTTTGCCAACTTGGTACAATTTTTTATCCCGAATGCCGGAAATTTGCAGTTATTTGGTCCAAAATTAGTCCAATAATAACCATTAAATTTAAGCCAATTTGGTCTAGTCAACTTGGTCCAATTTTTATCCCGAACGTTGGAATCTGACAATTAATTAGTTCGAAATCAGTCCAATATTTTAGCAAATTTGGTCCAATTTTTATCTCGAACGCGGGAATCTTACAATTATTTGGTCCGAAATTGGTCCGATAACTTTTAAATTTTAGCCATTCGGAATCTTACAATTATTTGGTCCGAAATTGGTCCAATAACTTTTAAATTTTAGCCAATTTGGTTAGACCAAATTAACTAAAGTTTAGGAGTTGTTGAAATAATTTCGAACCTCAATAAATTATTGAACAAAAATGGAAAACAAAGGGTGTATTCAATTGGGATTTTCGGTGCATTTTGAGATTTTTTAAGATTTGAGATTTATTAAGATTTCCAGATTTTAGAGAAATTCTGTGAAATTCTAAATTTGGAGGTGGAATTTGAAGTAGGATTTCGTATAAGATGTTTTCTTTAAAAATCCCACCAAATTTTAAAAAGTCTTAAAAAATCATAATATCAAATAAGTTAAATCAATATTTTAAATACCGGTATGTACCGCCCGGTAATACCAGATACTGATGGTCCGACTGGTACAGTTACCCCCTAATTATCGTTTTGGCCAAAATACCGGTTAAAATAGCGGATATATCGGATTTAAAAAATATATATAGTTTTATAACATAATTTTATTCATTTATTTATATAAATAGAAAGTTCTACATTTAAATTTAATATATTTACATTGTTATTAGATTTTAGTTTATTTTAATATTTATTAAAGTTAGTTTCATACATTATTCATCTTATAATAATAGATTAATTTAATATTTATTAAAATAAAATAGACGGTAAAACTGGTTGAACCGCGTACCGCGCTACAAGAATAATCATTTTTAGTGACAATATTTTTTGTCGCTATGTCGGCAGAAAAAATACCGTCGCTAATAATATCCTAATATTGTCGCTGTATGTTCGAACGTCGTCACAATAATACCTCTTATTGTGACGGTATATTTTGTGACGACATAGCTACAAAAATTATCGTCACTAAAAATGATTATTCTTGTAGTGTCGGTAGCTCGACTGGTATGGTATTTAAAACATTTAGTTAAATACATCATATTTTGTAAGACTTTCTATAATCTCGATTGACGGTTTTGCTATGGAGCCAACAGTTGGCTCCATAGCAAAGCCAACCTTCTATATATATACAACAAGTAAACATACCATATTTTATGATTATTTAAATAACATTAATATAATTTTATTAGTATGATAGGTTTATTTGTTGCATATAGAAGGTTGACTCTACTATGGAGCAACTGTTTGCTTCATAGCAAAACCGACTCAATTGAATACCCAAGACTTTTAAAAGTCATTAAAAGTCTTAACAAATCTAAATTAAATACACTAAGATTTTTAAAGTTTTAAAAAGTCTTTAAAAATCCTAATTAAATACACTCCTGAGTCTTTTAATACGAGAAAAACTTGTTCGTAGACCGGAGGGCCGTCTTACACAGTCGAATTGGGAAGACGAGACGGGAGAATTTCCACTGCTTCAAGTGTCCAGCGAAGGCTTCCAGGGCCAGGCTTCAATTTAGACCAGCTTAGTACCATGTTTTCTAGCAATGGTCTCACAATCACTGATTTGGTTGCTTTATCAGGTACATATTACTGAGGCCAACACAACTCAAATTAGTTTATTTCAATTTGATTTTCACTCTCTTTATATATAGCCAGGTAGGTACATAGTTAATCATGAATATCACTAAGTCGCTATTAACTTAAATAAATTTACATACTTTTAAACTTCATATTGATATGTCATACTCTAAAAAGCAAGACGAACAAAAGTAAGCAGTTTCTTTTGTTACAAATATAAGACGAACCGATTTATCTAACGGTTAAACTGTTTCGTATGAGAATTTGAGTTAAATATACACCGAATACCTATTCCTCGGATTTCTTCTCACCTCGTCACATGTGAGTGCAGAAAAGTCAAAACCTTCACCATTGATTAGCAAAGTTTCCCAAGTAACCTAGAGTATTAGCCTTTAATTATGTAATAATTATGAATTTAATCCTATTTCTTAGATGTAATTAAGTACCTTTTGATAACATGATACACAAGTCAAGATTGCAATATTCTATGATCACTAATAAAAGGTCATGAAAAATTCCATATTCTTGTGTGAGCCGATTAACTGATATATGGATCGATCCGTCATATATTTATAATTAGCTGATCCGTTATATATTTTTACCATAAATGCATAGTTATGTTGTTATGAAACGTTAACTTTTATTTATATTATTTTTTAATGTATGACATTTAATTTTTTAAAAAATAATATCGATTGAAAAAATATGAATGTTTACTATTAGTTAGATTAACAGTAACATTGGTCGAGTCGAAAGTTACATTGCAACACCAAGTAGCCTTGGTCGAGTCGAAAATTACACTGCCGCACCAAGTAGCATTCATGAATCATGAAGCCACCGATCTTTTTCAATTAGACCAAAACATTTGAGTAATTTGTGTTGATCTAACGGTAAAACAAAATGATTGCACTAGTCATAATAATAATAACTAGTATTCATCACGTGCACATGCACAAAGAAAAATAAAAATCTATATATTATATTTATGTATACAATATATACAAATTTAATATTAAATAATTGATGTATTACATTTTAAATTTGGACTACATGCAAATGTGTAATGTAAATATAATTTATTTAACTTACGTATGAATTTTTATATTGATGCCATAATTTTTAATGGCTAATATAATTTAGTAATTTAGAGGGACGATACAATTAATTAGTTAGAAAAATATTACAATTATTTTTATCATTGTTATAGCATTTGTTTATGTGATTTTAAGGTGTTTAATTATGACACTCATGACAATTAACATATTAGATAAAAATCGCTTAAAAAGAACAAAAATATTTTATTTTAGATAAAGTATTTTAAAGAAAAAAATTGCAATACAATTTTTTATAAGTATGTAACTTCCACATACTATTTAATGTAA